GAGAGCGCAGAGTGACAGGGGCCGTGCTGTAACAAAAGCACTGAGGTTAGAGGTAATAAGTTTCACAATGGGGATCTTCATTTTGGCTTGAATCTCCATGCATACAAAGACGCTCGATTGGGTTTTTATCGAAATCATCTCCTAAATTCAGTCTGACCGTATTTGAATCTGAATCAATCTGTCCGCTGGTCCCCTTTAACACTTCATTTTCTCTCGAGATAAGGACTTTCCTTCTATTTTACAAAAGGCAACGGTGTGACAAAAGCTGCTTATCTCTCCCTGGGGATGCAGAAGAAAATGGGGGTAAAAAAAATATCATTCTTTAGGCAGAATGATGATTTTGCTGCAGTGTCAGAAACCTATTGCTGATGAAACTCTCAGTAATTAATGACACTGTGCATGCATGATTCTGGCACCGGTGCCGCTCTCTGTGCTTCATCTTTATCAGTATTTGTTTTGGATCTTCTGGTTCCACCAGGAGACTGATTATTTATGGGCACATCTGTCAGCCATAATGAAGCCAGGAAAGGTGACCTTTGTGTGAATGACTTAGTGTGTGTGCATGTATTTTCTTTTTTTTTTCCTCTTCCCCTTTCTGCACATACAGTATATGCACTGTTGAAAGGTTACCAGTGCATGAGCTTGTGAGCTGAATAGTAAGCAATCAATGATGAGGTCTGAAATGCATCCAAACATATGCAGAGAAGACAGGCGAAGGACGGGGTGCAGATACAGAACAGCGAAGTTTAAAGAAAGAGGCACAGGAAACATGGATTGTTCGATCACACGTGCAGGCCAACACTGCACCGCAGATAAATGTAGGCCACGTATTCCACTGGGATCCGATCAGCCATCGGGAGGACAAGCCTCACTTCCAGCTATCTGGATAATACAATACAAGGATAAATAAGGGCGGGGGAGACCATTTTCATGGGAAACATTCTGAGCAGAGGAAGCCAGCAGAAGCTTTAATTACTGCACTGTTACTGGCTTATATGCTTCATTATGATATCATCGTTGCAGCGAGAAAGGGAGAGAAGGGAAATGGGGAGCTGGAGTTGAAAGGGGGTGGGCACAGTGACAAAGAGAGGCACGGAGATGAAAGTTGGTGGCGAAAAACTGAATGGAAACGGCTGAAAATGGAGATAGTTAGGCAAACTTTCCAGGAAGAATGGCAGCAAAATAAGGTCATAAGTACTGTAGCTGTTTATCATCAAACCGGCATGTGTAAAAAAACCAAACAAACTATGAATATACTGGAAAGTGTAAGTGTATAAATATGTTTGACTAAGTGTTTGAATATTTTTGAAAAAAAGGAAGCAAATAGATGCTTTTTTGGCTCTGAGTAGATCTGTAGCTGTACATGATATTTGGTGAACAAGTGAAAAAGATTTGCATGGGTAATTTTCAATATGTGAGTGCATAAAGAAGATTTGCACAAAGGTTAGTAGTTTCACAGCAAAGCTTTGCAGTTAAGTTACTGGAAACACAGCAGCAGTGTTAGTGGAGAGTGATGGCAATCGTTGCACTGCAAACTATCATTTAAGTTAGATACAGGATCTAAGTTAGATACACATCTTCTCTGTGTTCTCAGATATGATCAATTACTTCTGCAAATCTTTTCCATATAAGTTTTTGTGCACAGCTACAGATCTCCTGTTTTCTACGTATTCAAACGCCTGAATTCACCTGATCAAAGCATTTCAATGCATTCACACGTCTGAATATATATATACACGAGCTGTTTTCACACACTCGCTAATGGTGCGTCACAGCTCTGGTGTTTCTGACGTTATTTTAAGGATATTGTCTCAATACTAAAGGAAAGGAGATGAATTTGTCACAAATTCTCTGTGATCAGCAGCCACCACTAATTACTCACTCCACAATCTCTAAATATGATCTGTAAATATTATTAGCGCTCATCCCCAAGATAAGAGCACATCTAATGTCCCACAAATGATGACGAGGACATATTTTATCCCTGTGATGGTCTGGATAATAGTAATGGCTTCTTTCACGGGGCTCCTGTAAGAGTTTCTATATGAACAGGAGACTCTTGTGTGTTTATGAAGCTAACTGGGTCACCGTGAGCAGATCTCAAATCCCAATACCACTGCAACTTATCTTGGACTTCAATTATAGCTCCAAAATGATGCTGCTGCTGCCGCTGCCCTCAATTTCTTCCAGAATCCAAGGATGCTGTTGCGTATGGCGGTGTTTACACTTTGAAGTGATTAAAAAACACACACGTTCAGTGGCATCCAAATAGGACTAAGTCAGGCAAGATCTCCACTCAAGAACATCTCATTTGGTATTTCAAAGTGCCTTCAAACACTGAGACTTCTAGACTGCTATTAATTATCCAAGTGCAGCAAAAACAGAGCAGCTGAAGGTTAATTACTTTGTGCACAACTAATTTCCATAAATGTGTGCATTCTCTTCAGCATAGACTTGTGTGAATGATTTGCCTTTTTACAAGTAACAAACTGGTAAATGTTTCACTGCACACTGAAATGCCACTTTTTTTCTCCTCCTTGAAACATTGTGTCACGGTTTCAGCTCGTCAGCTCAGCCACATTAGTTTCAGCGTCTCAGCAGGAATCAGGTTAGACCCTAGGGCTGTAACAGAGGGACTCCTTCTTCTCATGGACTACCAGTCTTTAATTTGAGCTTATGACACAGCCTGGGAGTTTCCTCGTTAAGTGGTAACACTTGAGAGATTATTATTTCGCCACCAAGCTGTGCGTTAGGGCTGTGCTGTCGCCTTAATCACCAGTGTTTCTACCAGCACTTTGTTAGATGTTATGCAGTCTGTGAAAATGTGGTCCGACTTTGCACTTCATGACACACATGACGACAGAATGGCAGATACACATCACCAGACTCCTCTTACAAATACTCATTAATCAGCTAATCAGCTAATCACACAGCAGAAGCATTTAGGCATGTAGACATGGTCAAGACCTGTTGAACTTCAAACTGACCACCATAGTTGTCATAGTTGTTGATGCCACATGAACTGGTCCGAGTATTTCATAAACTGCTTATGTCATCTCTGGGTTGTAAACAGAGCGTTCTTTATTCTCTATACACTGATTGAAAATGCCTTGTTGGTGCCACAGGTCAGAGGAAAATGGTAAACTGCTTTGAGCTTACAGGAAGGCAACAGTAACTCAAATAACTACTCATTACAACCGATGTTTACAGAAGAGCATCTCTGCATACATCCAACTACGGCAGCAGAAGACCACAACAGGATTCACTCACGTCAGCTAAGGAAACTAAGGCTACAGTTCACGTGGACCAAAACTAGACAATAGATGATTGGAAAAAAGCATGAAATCCATCCTGCCTCATTTCATCGGTCCAAGCTAGCTGCTGGTGGTGTAAGGGTGGTGTAAGGGTGTGGAGGATATTTTCTTTGCACACTTTGGAGTAAATGAGCATCATTTATGCACCTTTGTCATATCCACAGGTTTAGGTGTGTGACAGGCAGAGCTGTGGACCCAAAAACGCAGGACTGAATTAATAATCAGCGTTAATGCTGTTAGTGCAGACATGGGTACATGACTGGGAAGGCTGAAAGACGCAGAGATGAGAATAGAGAAGACTGAGCTCAAGAGACACCAATATAGATCTTAGAACATAAACACAAAAACTGAGTTGAAGGCCCAGGACCATGAGACCACAGCCTTTGAGTTTTTGCTGACCATGTCCATCCCTTTATGACCAGCAGGATACCAGATCCCAAACAAAGCTCAAATAATCTCAGACTGGTTTCTTGAACATCACAGTGAGTCCACAGTCATGAGATCTCAGTCCAACAGAGCACCTTTGGGATGTGGTGGAACAGGAGGTTCACATCATGGATGTGCAGCCAACAAATCTGCAACAGCTGTGTGATGCCATCATGTCAACATGGACCGAAATCTGAGGAATATTTCCAACACTTTGTTGAATCCTTGTCACAAATGATTAAAGGAGCTCTGAAGGCAACAGTGGGTCCAGCCCAGTACTAACAAGATGTGCCTAGTAAAGTGACTGGTGAGCAGAGATGGGCAGTAACGCGTTACTGTAATCTGATTACTTTTTTCGGGTAACGAGTAAAGTAAGGGATTACTATTGCAAAAACGGTAATTAGATTACCGTTACTTTCCCGTAGGAACGCTGCGTTACTGCGTTACTAAAACCGTGATTTTTTTGCAAGAATGTCTCATGACAGTGACGTAAGCGAGTGCGACGTTAGTGACAACAGCTGTGTGCAGATCAACAGTGGATCATATATCGAGTGCGGGACAGAGTATGAGCGTGCAGCATTTAAAGCGTGGAAGTACTGACCTTACTTTGAGTTTGATTCCATAAAAAGTGACAAAAACATTAGCGTCCGTTGTGCGTGGGAAGAAAACTTCTTTTTACAGTGAAAAAATCCCTAAACTTCCAAGCGAGCACCAAGTGCGCTACGACGTGATGGGAAACTCACAGAGAAACTCGCGGATTCTTCCGATGACCGCTGCGGCACACCTGCACCAGGGCAAACCTCCGCCTACCCCACTCCTGCTTTACAGGTGAAAATAGAGCAACAGGACCGCTAGTCTTTGATGTTATTTATTTTCTGCTGTGTTTTACTTGCATCTATTTGAAAGAGTGAGTGTAAACACACAAAAAATATATTTTATGTGCTGGAATGTGCAGAAAATAGGTTTAAATGTTAAAAACAAATTTCTTCCAGTCAGAGAATGTTGCATATAATTTACTTTTTGCTTGATGCATAAAGTTAAAAGGTTAAAACTAATAAAACAAGTTTTAAAAAGAGATTTTTCCATTTGATTACATTTTGTATGATGGATTATGCAGAAAAAGTAGAACTGGGCTGAAAGATCTATCGCTTTATCACCTATTCAGGTTGTAAATCGTGTTTTTAAAAAGTAACTAAGTAACTAAGTAATTAATTACTTTTGAAAATAAGTAATCAGTAAAGTAACGGGATTACTTTTTGGGGGGAGTAATTGTAATTAGTTACTGATTACTTTTTTCAAGTAACTTGACCAACACTGCTGGTGAGAGTATATATTTCTCTAGAAAAGATCTAGAACACCAATGAATGTAACTAACAGATATTATGAGTTTAAGCATCCTTTGATGTAACTTACTCTTTTGTGATGAGTCATCAGTTGTTGATGAAAAAATATATTTTCTGAGGATTTTGGTTGTGTTTAGTCAGAACTGTTGAGAGTCCTACTTTCTGTAGTAAACAGAGCTTCAGTGTTCATCATGTTTATTATTTGGTATTTAAAAGAGAATTATTAACATGTTTAAAACCAGGAAAAAGGCCACATTTCATTAAAACACCCACGGAGGTCACAACAAGTGCAGCCAAACAGGTGAACACTGAAGGCATGCTAAACTCTGTCCTCTTTTAGTTGCAGCAGCAGGTGGTATCACTTTGAAATCTCTCCCCGTGCTCCTTGTCATTGTAAATCTTTCCCAGTGTTACCCACCGCCTGTGGCCAAATCTAATCTGCACTTCCAAATAGGAACCGGTCATAATGACACAGTGAGTAGGGGGTTATTAAAAATTGAAACGTGGCTAATTAAAGCAGGGGTGAAAGAATACGAATTAAGGCTGGTGACCAGGCTTACAGAAATGTAAGAGCGTGAAACTGACCTTGATGGAAAGGAGAGAGAAAGCATCAACTGCCTGAGACTGAACTTGGAATCTGAAACGATGTTACAGTTTGGTTTGACACCTTTCAGTCAGCGCTGTAGCAGAAGACGAAAACAGATTTCCTGTTTTTGTTTTTTGTGGAAAGAGCTTTGGTTTCACAAAATCCAGTCAGGTATTGGGTGGGACAGATATACACTGCGCTGTTCTTTACAGGTTGTGACATTTCACAGCACAACGGGCATAGAGGACTTTTTCGTTCTTGTTATCACGCCCTGACGTTAATATGTAGAGACGTGCTTGTTAAGAAAGTAAGAGCAGTCGCCTGAAATCAGTGTTATGCCACTCAAGACAGTAAATTCACTCTGAAGTGTTTTAGAAAGGGCCTTGGAAAGAAAAGGCTGGAGAACACACAAAGGACAGAGCTGGTTCAGTTAGGTGTGCAGGCAAATCATACACAGAGATCTCTGCAATTATGCGCATTGGGCACTCCATCATCCAATGTGCAATATTAGCAAATAAAGAAAAAATAAAAATTCTTGGAACCTGAAGCAGATGAATCGTTTTGTCCAAACATTAGCCCAAGTTTTAGGAAAACATGTCTTGCCCCGTGACAGCTTGTTGGTGTTCAACCCCCATGTGACCCTGAATTGAATTCTTACATTTCAGAAGCTGAAAATAGCCAATGTTTGCCATGTTTTCTGGGACCTAAATGATTAATCTGCTACCAAAACGTGAGTTTTTTGTTTTTTTTAACTGAGTCAAAACAGCTGCAAAACCTTTAGATGAAAGTACAAAATGGTTCAAGGCCCTGCAGCCCTAAAATGATCAGATTTTAGGAGTTAAAAGCAACAAAGCGACTTCCCTTGACCCCAAAGCCTGCCCTTGGGCAATTTAAACTATTCAAATATTTTACTTTCCAGAAATGACTCCCTTTGAGTCGCTATACGTTTTAAAAATCAGCCGATAACAGTCAGATCTGTTTGTGTCCCGCAGGTCTGTTTTCTCTCTGTTTCTTCGAAAACGGTAAAATTATCCTGCCACTGACCTGACGTTTCAGCTGCTCGTAATAAAGCGGTTTCTTTTTCAGGTAAATGCAGATAAAAATCAGTTTTCACATTAAGAGTTCTTCTCAAAACAATCTCTTAAATCTGTGCTTTGACTCAGACTTCAGGCCGCAACAAGCCGAGGCCCTGAAGTGGCGAGCGTATATTTCCCGCAGCATCAAAGGTGGACACTTCACTGCTGCGGATGTATTACTGCATGTTTATATCCATTCAAAGATAAAAAAAAAATTGAGATAGCTAGGCAAAGGAAATTTGTCAGGTCCCGCGAGTACACTTTTAACACCTTCTGATTTCAACCTCTTTATTTTAAAACTTCAACATCAGGTCCCTCTTTGGAAAAAAAAGGAAACAGTTAGTCACTGCTGCATCTTCTTACGCCGGCTGGCTTTGTGTCTCTGACTTTAGCAGGTTTTTATGCAGCATTCGAAGTCGTCCTCAGATTAAAATAGTATATATCACTCTATGCTCATTTATTTATTTTATTCTGAGTCATGCTGTAGTTGTTGTTTCTTTAAAACCTTCTTTCACACAAAAAGTGTAGAATTTATGCTACAGCAAGTACTGGTTTTAAAATTTGCCTGTCTGAACCCACAACATTTTATTTTTGAATATTCAAGCATTAAATACCTTGTCAGTGAAAGAGATAAGCTTATTGATCAATACAGGGAAGCTAAAGGGAAACTAATACTCTACATTCAGCCACCGGGGACCAACTCCACATGTAAACTTGGTAAAAGCACAGTAACAGAAGACATGCATGTTTCTGAAGATTACAGCTGGCATGCACAGAGAAAACCTGCAGTCTCCATACATAAGGACCCCAACTCTACCCAAGACTCCCAGGAGGAAACATAGTGGCTTAGTTTCCTCCTGGGAAGCATAGCTGTAGATTTCAGGACATGGACATGGGGAGACGTTCCCCCTAAAATGTACTGAGGGGTGGATACAAGCCCTTTAATATTCCTCCTCTGCAAGTGCTCAACTAAAACCTGTGCCTATAGTTTGGAGCAAATCTTTCACTCTGAACGTACTTCACGCTCTCTTTAAGGACTGCATCTTTACTCTGATTTATCATTTAGTCTTTTAAATATTTATTTTCAAAACCGTTTATTCCTGTGTGTGAGTCCTGACGAAATAAATGTTTTTGCATTCGATTTACACGTGGAATCTCCTTTAGAAACAAAACAAAAGAATCACCAGGACAGAAACACTACACCCACGAAAAGTGAGAAATGACGTTGTAAAAGTCAACGCATTTTTTTGCTTACTTTAATAGAAAACCAAAGAAGAACAGAGATCGAACAGCGTACATGTATGCATACAGTGCCCCCTTTAAGTACTCACTAAAAAGAAAAGAAAACACAGCAACCTGATAAATATAGGGCCCCGGAAACAAACGAAAATACCTCATGAACATATATCAAATGCACCAGATGCGATGAGACGTCGGTTGAATATATTTGCACAGATATCCTGACAGTGAGTTAGTATGTCTATCCCATGATCAGTGCCTCTTGCTGTGAAGGTTTGGACTTCATATTAGGTCATACAACTGTCACTGTAACTGAAATACATGCGTTTCACTGTTATTGCCTTTGTTTTGTTTTCTTTATTTTTATTAAAAAACTGTTTTCTCTCTCATATTGATTTCTAAAAAATAAGTTTTTTTTTAATTTAATTCTTGTTTGTTTCATTTGATATTTCTATTTCCTACCTTGTTGGATCACAAACATCATCACAAGTATTGACTCTTTTATGCTACGACATTCCAGTATACTTACTTACAGGGATCGGCGTCAATGTTTCACTTGGCATTGAAAATCTTGATGTGGGGAGGGAAAAACGTTTTGACCTCTAGGAAATGGGAGGAGTCTGACAATGGCTACCTCTGTCCTGTGCTACTCGAGGACGGAGGAGGGAGGGGGGCGCACGCAGCAGTTGGGCCGTCTGACATTTTGCAGCATTGACCTGAAAATGTTCTGCTGCCTCCTTTTGTTCTTGCTGCCATGTCGCGGCGAATCAGCACCAGAGATTGACTTTCGCAGCGAGGTCTGGACCATCAGTTTCCTCTCTTGCTCCTTTATTTTGCTCTGTAAGTGGCTCTGAATTGCAAAGCCGAGTGATTCGGGGTCCACGGAAGCCCCGTAGACCTCCCACGTCATGCCCTGTTCGTCCCAGACGACGTCGTGGATGCTCTTTCCTTTCTGCTTCCGTGACTGATCGTCCTCTTTGTCGCTTCTCTCCGGTTCCACCTTCTTTTTGCCAGAATTTGTCTCCTTACTCTGGGCTTTACTTCCTGCTTCTTTGCTTTTGTCTTTTGCACTCACATCTCTATTTTTAGTGAGCTCTGACTTGGATGTGGTGTTTGCTGCTGGTGCTGCTGCTGCTGCTGTTGTCGTTGGTGCTGTTGTCGTTGTTGTCGTTGTTTTTGGCAGGGCCTGCGCAGCAGTGTTGCTGTCAGCACATCCAGGCACAGGAACAACGGCTGTCTCTGGGGGCATCCCTGATCTGAGAGAAGGAGTTTCAGCCGTGGCTGTTTTTGCAGCTTGCTTCTTGGGTTCGCTGTGTTCAATGTTGATTTGATAAACCGGCTGGATGTTGCACAGAGCTGCGCCCGGTTCTTTAGGCTTGGCTCCTAGCCTGGAGTCATGCTGCTGTGACAAAGTTTCTGATTGGAAAACCATGCCGGTGTTTTGGTTGGGGCACATTTGTGCCTCTACAGTGAGTCTCTCTGACTTCGGATCAGTCGCGGTGCCGCTTTTCACCTGGTAGACTACAGCCAGGCTCTCCTCTCCTGGGACTGCACTACTGCTTGGCCTGTGGGTCACAGGGAAAAGCAGCAGACTAGGACTCGTGGCCACAGCCTTACTGCACATTTTAGCTACTGCCTGAACCTCCATATCATGACACTTTTTGACCGGGGCTGGTGATAGCGATGAGGTCATTGTCGAAGCCTCCGTGTAGAGCTTGGAGTCCCGCTGCCCTTCAAAGACAGCTGTGTCAGTCTGGCTGCTTCCTTCAGCCACCTGCTCGGATGCCTGCGTGCTTTTTGTCGCCTGGGGCAGAGAGGATGAGTCTTTCTGTGAGGACACTGGCTGGTGTTTATCTGAGGAGACCTGCGGTCTCGATACTGTTGCAAATTCCTTCTCTGGGCGCGTTGACCGTGAGTTTTCGTTTGTTGGTCCAGCTCCTGCATCTTTACTCTCAGATGGGGCTTTGGCTGAGCTTAGCGGAGTTTCCATGCTTTGCTTGGGTTTTGATGGATCTTGTAAAGAAACAGACGTTGATGAGCAACCTTGCATATGACCAGTCTCTTTAGATTTCTGTGGGATAGCCATGTCCCTGCTTTGGGGATTGGAAATGGTTTCTTTATTATCTTGTACTTCAGATGCTGTACTCCTTACATCACTGTCGTTACGTTTTTTGTCATTTGGAGAAAGGCGTTCATTACTTTTCTCTCGTGCTGTAGTTTCTACTGAGGGTGTCAGCCGTACCTGCTTCTCTTCTGGTGCAACTGGGTTTTTTACTTTGTACTCACTGCTGTTCGTGTCGGTGCCCGATGCTGCAACAGGAGACAGGGAACTGGCCTTACACGTGCCCGTTTCACTGGTTGGGCTCAGAGTTTTCATGTTAGCATTAGAATCCCGCTGGTCAGCTCCTGCCTCACCCACCTCTCGGCCTGTTACAGACAGGTTTGGTGTTTGGTGGTCTCCACCTGACACTTGCTCAGATTTTATCTGGTTTCCATTGCCTGGAGCTGATTTGTCTGACACAGTGGTAACTGGTTCCCCTCCCTTACAACCTGTTTTTTCTGTGTGGGGGGCGGCGTTAGCAGTCGTCAGAGACAGGTTATCCTGCTTGTCGGGAGATCTGAGGGTGGGTTTTGGACAAACCTGAGAGACTTTGAGGTTGGGCTCTTTAGCCCAGTTGGCATTAGACTCCTTGTTGCCCAGTGTGTCCACCCCAGCCAGCTGAGGCACCATCTGGACTGTTACTGTTCTTTTTGGGTTAGTTCCCATGGCGGAGTCACTGCTTCAGTCTTCAAATATTGCCGTATATCCAGAGATGGAAACGGATGCACACTGTGCTATCATTAACTTTTTGCAATTTCCTAAAGGAGGAAAACAGAAGTAGACTCAGTTGAAGTTTTTAATCATTAAGCTTATCACAACAATTACACCTTTATTCAGATGATTATAATCAGATCAGACTCCAGACCAAGGTGATTTCTGTAAGACAATTTTACTCAACAGTTATCAACCAGCCAGGACAGAGAACAGCGAGAGACCTGCAGCTGACTAAGAATATAATATGTGATTCCAACTTTAATATTCAAATGAACTTATAACTTTTAACATATAACTTAATAATATTTATGGAGGTAGTTTTTGGTTCATTGATCTCCACATTCTCCTTTAAACTCAACATCATCTTTGTGCTGCAACTGATGCATGATTTATTTTTCCAGAACATGGAAATAAATGAAACTCCAGAGCTTTTATAAGCATCCATCACATTTTGCATATTAAACCTCTTGACTGATTGCACTGAATGTAGAAAATGTAAAAGTATGATAAGAAAATGCTGCGTAAACAAAGTAGTAGTAAGACACAATGCGACATTTATACTCAAAGTGCTTACAGATAAAACTGTGGATGCCACACATCTGGTGGCGTTTGATCTAACCGCTGTTTTTCTCATTCTACAAATCCTACCGTAAATAAAACTACGCCCAACAGCGTGTCATTCATAAATCAGCTGAAGTTATTGCAATTGAATATTACAGCATACAAAGAGATGTGAATAATGAATGAAATGAACTGAGTCTCCCCATGCTAGCCCGTTGACTCGGTTTAATTAAATGTTGTGATGCTGTGAGATATTGCCAATGGCAAGCTAGCCACTTAGTAACAATATCATATGCCAATTATCCTTTAATCTTTGTGTTGAATATAATTGGGTAGATTTAAAATACATACCTGAGGGACTGAAAATCACTCATAATCACTCATTTAAAGTTTCATTTTTTTTTGACAACCACAAGTGAATTTATAACCAGCATCACCCTCGTTTGTCCTTTATCTGTTTTAAATTCTACGCAGTGATCAACAGTTTCTTTGTCCAAGGCCTGATGAATGGCTTCATCTCAGTCTGTGTCCTGAATGTGTAAAAGTATCCAGCCAATTCTGCAAGTAATGACCCAGCACTCAGCAGACAGCTGAAATATGTGACCCTTTGGAGTTGGACAGATGAGCTGTGCTGTGGTCAAGGATGTAATCATGGAAAACTATCTCTAAAGCAAATGAAGAACACACTGAATGATAATTCGATGGGTGGCATTAATGGGCCTTTTCCATTTCGGTGACATCCACTGATGATCAGTGCAGTTCATCTCAGTAAAGGTAACAACATCAATCTGATCTAGAGGCATTCTCCTTCATCACACCAGCATCCTCTTCTTTAGGAGTAGCAGTGGGAAACCGAACAGCTTTCCAGGTTATACTTGTATCTGATAAAGCGAGACTAAAGAATAAATATTCCCGTCACACTCTTTTAACCATGATAATCTGACGCACTCGGTAGCCCTATAGAGCACCCCCCCTACGTGTGACTCGAACAGCACAGAATAGTAGGTTACTGGTGTGGGTCATGGACAGGTGTAGCCGGGTTGTTTGTGCTCTGCCACTATGCATCTGTCTGTCTGTTGTCAAAGCGCAAATATTTATGGAAAGCATATCCTGGGTGTTATTAAATATATGACAAATAAACGCCTCGGTGTCTGGGCTTTTTTGTGTTGCCTTTTCTTCTACTTCTTCTTCTTCTTTTGCCAGCAGCAGTTAAGAAATAACCGTAAGTGTGGACAGACTACGTACAGACTGTATTCATGCAAAACGGCGCACATGAAAGATCCCGCATGCAAGCGGTGCACACGATCTATTCAGGCCAATTAAGATCCATGTCGTGCACTGTAGCCTCTTGCCCCAATTCAGCGCCTCAGAAGCCACCGATGCTTGCTGGTTTGATTTGACCTTGCGGGCGAATTTAACATCTCACAGTATAAGAGATCTTGAAAAGATGAAGGCGGCTTACCTTGCGAGACGATTTATGCCCCGTGCCGTTGGGTGCCGATTGCGCGTCAGTGAGACGAGGGGGGGGGAAAGAAAGAAAAAAAAACCTAGGGATGAATATGGAAAAGTCAGCCTGTGTCGATGACACCAAGCCACGCCTTCCACGTAGAATATGGGTCTTAGAGGTATCGATCCACCACAGTCAGGCACAAAATTTAAGCACCTTGACTGAGTGATCGTGCGCAATGAGTCACCGCTGACTCCGAGATCTTCATCACTGCTGGCTCGTGCTTACAAAAACAAAAAGAAAAAAAATGTGACGAGCCGATCATGGTTTGTGCGCTATCCCAGACTGAACTGGTCTTGGCAGGGCAATCCAGAGTTAACCAGATGAATGGATGAATGGGGAGGGGTGGAGAAGATGCGAATGGAAGCAACATTGTAACAGCCGCAGGCTTTCACAGGAGGGTCACTTGGTCCTGAAATTAATTAGTTTTAGTTCCCTGCGCTTTCTGCCTCCTAACGTAGACCATAATATTCCAAGAGGAGAGGTTTTTGGTTTTTCTCCTCCCATTTGTGTTTTTGAGAAATGGGTCGACTTTCATGCGGTTCTTTTCTGGAGCATGCTTTAGCGAGATCGCTTTCATTTATTTTACATCTACATTATTTTCAAAATGAAGAAATATTTCTCTGTGCTTTCGGCAGATGTGGTGAATAAAGAGCCTCTACAATAAGAGCCTGCCGGTTACAATTGGTGTCATTAACTATTACTACAGAAAAAATCGCAATAAAGATTTTCTGTGGTTTGCAACGTGCTTATGCAAATGAGTCGGAGACAGCGTAAGACTTTGCACTTTGCTGATAACACGGAGAGAAATGTGGCTCATGTAGTTAAAAAATACATCAGTGATTCTGTCCAAATAACTGTTCATTATGAATGAGCCTGCTTTACACTGCTTTATATTTTTATACATCGATATCAGTAATTATATTTAGGCTTTAATATATCTTATATAATTCATATACTTCTATACTTTGATATCACGTATTTATTTTCGTCTGCATCTCATATTCTTAACTATTCTTTGATTCGTTCTAGTAACACACAGTGGGTCAAGGGTTACAAAATTTCGATCCTGTGTGTGTGTGTGTGTGTGTGTTGTACATACGCAGAATTGACAATAAAGCTAACTCTGACTTTACACGAGAGTGTGCATTTTTTCCACAGTAGTTACAAATCCCACACACACGGGTCCCTGCCCCTGAACATTAACATGAATGTAATGATAAAGAAGACGACGATCCAGTAACAGGTGTCTCAGTGTGGTTTATACTGTCGTTTAAGGTGATTTTGGAATATTAGAGAGAATATGCGAGCAAGCATTTTGGCGAAAGTGGGGAAATAGAATTCGCTTTTAAGCAGAGCCAGACTCAGATAGGGGCATCTGGATAAATGGATGGATGGTTGGTGAAATGTATGATAAGAGATACGAAAGAGCAGCAATGCTGAGCAGGACTTTATGCAAGCTCACAGCTCACCGGAATGTTATGAATCTCAAAGAGGAATTTAAAGGATCATGAATTTTAAAATGTGGAAACTACTGCACTGGAGGTGTACAGATTTAAACAAGGATGTCTCGATTACTCTCCTTGGGCTGTGGAAACTATAACAAGTATTTTCCCATGTTTTAAATGACTTTCACAGCGAATTCTTGTAATCACCGGCAGATTAAAATGTAGATCAGAATGAGTAAACCAAGAAATACAGAAACCAGCCTGGTTTCAATTTTGATGTCGAAGACAGTATAAAGTTGTGGAAGCACTTACACAGTGCCATCCTTCTCACAGAGACAGCGATCCATACAAACGCGTTCGTATGGCTCCCTTTAGGTGATATTATTGACTTGATTCGTCTTTTAGGAGTTGTTGTACTTGCTGACATCATTGGATCTTTGCTTTAGTTTTGTGACACCCCTTCTGCATCTCATCCTCGTGGATAACAGCACTGACAGAGAGCGCTAACATTTAGTAGCCTACCACTTTCTAAAGCACTTCATCGAATCTGAAGGGCTTTTGAAAGATTTTGTGCAAAGTCTGTCCGGGTTGTTAAAACGAAATTGTAGCATTATAGACTACTCTCTTATTCACCCTGATCTATC